TCCAGTGTCAGCTGCACGAATGCCAATGGAGCTTTCTTGTTCGGGTTGTGAAAGAAGGTATGTTGTAGCAAATCTCCTATCTCTTTCTTTCTCTCCGATCCCTTTTCTGCCTTCCAAAATGAAACGATGTGATGTATGACCGATATAAGTTTTGTTGTTTTTCCATGCGATTGCCTAAATACCCAATTTTTGCCTACGTACTGGCGTCTCTTCCTCCTGAAGAGGTGGAACACTTTTCATAAGTACAAATGCAAATAAGGGATGGGCTCCCTTCACAAATCTCATACACCATTGCAAATACGACCTGTAGGTTTCCTACCGACACAAACCACACCTGGCCAACTTCAATCACTGACCCTTCATGCAGGCGCAACACTTGGCTAGAATTATGCATTTCTTTAGAAGGCGCGCCTATGGGTCGCACTTCCCCTCCTTAGAAGATTTTTTTAGCATGTAAGTCAAATGAGCGGAAAATACTTCAGTCAGTAAATGTGTAGCTTAGTTTGACACCTCTATGTGGGATGGGCAAGATGTGAGCATTGTTGCCACTGCGAAAGATCTCAGCATAGTGAAAAACTTATCGACTACATATTTTGGGTACTGCGATAAGAATAAGAGCCGACTTGGTTTTCAAGAAGGTAACTAATGCCTCAAATACCGAATACATCCTTTAATATAGTTGGACTCCAACGTACATTAAGGGAGTGCGCGTGCTGGCCGTAATTAGTTAAGTTTATTGAGGATCCATAACGTTACGATTGGCAGACTTTTCGTTTTACTGATCCATTGAAACAGAATTCTTAATTGTAAGTATTGAAGAAAGATAACCCTTGTGTGTGATATGAGGCTGCACTTTCTAGACTTCCTGTATTTCCACTTGCACCTGCACTTCCTGTTATCCCCATTAACTGAGTAAGACCCTCCGAAAAGATGGTCTACGCCCCACACTCCAAAATCTTGACCGTCTCACTCAGTCAAAGATGGAGGAGTGCGACTTTCTACCCTCGCAAATGCGCTGTAAACTGGACCAATCAAGGCCTGTGCTGGACTCGGTGAGCACCATATGTTGATTGCTGTTCATCAAAAAGGTTTTACACCTCCGAACTAAGACACGACAATCATTTCACGCTGATATGATCAAGTCGCTTAAAAAACAGCCTATAGACGAATCCTTTCCTCTAAACCTATATGACTACATTACTAACAGGTCAGACTTGACACTGACAAAATTGCAAGCCGAAGCCCTCTCCTTAGGGCTCAAATTTTGTGTACCAAGCAAGAAAGTAAACCCGACAGAGATTAAAGCCCAATTTGAAGATCTTTATTACCAGTTATCAGACCTGAAGCCGACGTCAGAAGAATCTGCGAAATTCGTAGATATCGCCTATCAATATAGAACAACCCCAGTTATTCAGCACTCGCTTTTAACTAAGCAACACCTTAGTGCTTTAAATGACCTACGAAAGGATACAGATGTCGTTAGCTCGAGACCAGACGAAGGTAACGGCGTCGTGATTCTAAACAAGGAGGATTACATAAGAAAGGTGGAAAACATATTGAATGACCCCAGCAAATTCTCTCCCGAAATCCATGGGAAAGAAGAAACAAAGGCACTGGAAGATCGTATTGGGAAAAAGGTCAAATCGCTGTTGGAAAGACAGATACTAGACGAGGAAATGGCTGCTCGTCACATATTCCTAGGCTATACGGGCTACCAAACGTACACAAGCCTGGAGTGCCATTACGGCCAATTCTATCAATGAGAGGTTCACCGCAGCATCAGTTTGCCCAATGGCTAGTCCAACAAACTGAACCTATCAGATTCAACCTTGCTGCTTACACGACCAAAGACACCTTTTCGTTCGTAGACGAACTGAAGAACCAAAGTTTATGTAATAAGCACATGATGTCACTCGACGTGCAAAATCTGTTCACAAACGTGCCACTGGACGAAACCATTGACATTATTTGTGAGCGTGCGGCTGAAACATGTCTGGAAGCAAGCCAACTACGGGAACTACTACAGATATGCACTAAGAATGTGCAGTTCCCGTTCAACGGGCAGCTGTATCGACAGATCGATGGCGTAGCTATGGGCAGTCCGTTAGGACCAGTCCTAGCGGATATTTTCATGTCGAACCTTGAGCGAAAACTGGCCAAACACATACAAACGACTGCTTTTTATAGACGATGCGTGGATGACATTTTTTTCATAGTCGAAAACCCTAAGGAGGGCGAACTGCCTCTTAAAGCTTTGAACGAGGCACATGCAAAGATCAACTTTACGATCGAGCATGAGAAGGAAGACATACTGGCTTTCTTAGACGTGCTTATCCGCAGGCGCGCAGATGGTTCCATTCAATTGTCCATCTATCGGAAAACCACGTAGAAAGGACAATGCATGCACTTTCTTATTTTCGTTCCAATTCAGAGGAGATGAAACTTGGTGTTGTGCCTTTTCAATAGAGCTGCTAGAATCTGTTCTGCGGAAACGATCAATGAGGAGGGGAGTTTTCGCAAGAGTGTGTTGCTTGGAAACGGCTATCCTGAGAAATTCATTGATAAGTATCACAACCGCAGACAAGAAATGACTCCTGAAATATCAGTGCCAAAAAAGCCAGTGAGCATCTCCCGCCCTTTCAAGAGTGATAATGTCTCCAACGTGATAAAACGGAGGCTTCGAGGCACAATTGAATTAACTTATCCCGCTGCTAAGTTATTGTATGTTAGCACAAAAACGACTATTCCAGTTCGACCGACTAAAGACCCTCTGCCTATGCACGCCACT